TTGCACGTTTCTATGACAACAAATGACGTGTATCCCAGATAAAATCCGGTGAAGAGTGATTGTGTAGTTCCGAGTCAAAATACAGTAGTCTTTACTTCATTCACCGGTACACCTCTCTACTCGAAAAGCAATCCGCGTTGTGAATTCAATAGACGAGCCGGCTATCCCAGACAAGCTACACTGTGAACAAAGAAATTATGATCAGAATGTGTCTAGGGCTGCGATGAGGACGATACATCACACTAGTTGTGAAGTAGCGTTTAAATGCATTTCAACTTGAGCATAAATCGTCCCTACTGTGCTTTTAGTCTGAGATGTGAACCCTGCTACCGATATCCAACTTTCTTTATTGACAGGTCTGCCGTCATTCGGCTCGTCCGTCCATGTCTCAAGGTTGACGCTGCCGAACAACCTAGTCCATTTATCGCACAACGATATGCAGTAAAAAGAAAACATTATTTAGGGACTGTTTCAATAAAATAACCGAATAGGAAAACGGATTTATGTTGTGAGGTGCAAACAATTCATTTGGTTTACGGAATCAGTAAAATATAAAACATATTGGTTTAGAGGTATTACAGAAAAAAATGCTGTAATTGCGAGAACTCGTGTTCTTTGAGTGAAAGGGTGAGAGTGCGCATCTCTCTCTGTGTGTGGTTACTGTGTGATTAAGACCGAGGTAGACTAATCTTATGGGTTAGTTGCTAAGGCGTACACAGGACCGGTGGTGTACGGGGTGTGATAAAATTGGCTTCATGAAGTAACTTCAGTCTGTCATCGAAATGTCGTAGCATAAGTCACCAATCATGAAATCGGATATCTCGGTTTTTCCGCGAGGTTCAAAGATATTCGGCTATCGGGCTTATGAGTCACTTTGGTTGACTGACTTGTCAATCTACAGCTTGCGATCGTTTCTATGAGTTAATTCTATCCGCCTGTCTCTCGTTGCATGCTCATCTAGTATTAAATTCAAATCTTTATATACTCGTAGCACTGCTTTTTTACAACTCCGTTGTTGGAATTTATTGATTTTTAGGAGATGATCATCCGATGAGTGTAAACAAAATCTCAAACGGTTTTGCCGGAAATCTCATCACCCGTAATGTGATTCTTTTCCTGCCCCAACACCGCAGCATTGCATGATGATGATGATGATGATCGAATCCTTTTTTTCGGTGCGTCCAGATACACTCAGGCTAAGAGGATGATTACTCCACAATGGCAGTTCACCTAAGGGAGTTGGCCAAAAACCCTGATTCCAAACCAACCATGAGGAGGTGTACGAACCACATCCACACCTTTTCGGTTGTGGCAGTGGTCACCGGCTCGATTGGGCATTGAGCTGTGATAGGCACCTTGGACGTCTGACCCCGTCCGAAGGGTGTATGATCCGATGAACTGGACACCGGCCAGCCCAACGGATTGCGGATTTCACACACCGCCCCGCTGCCTTGCGGGTCAGGCTTTGACTAGCCGAAGGCTCCGGTTGTGGATTCCTCAAGAAAATTCACCTGCCTTGGCCTGGGCAACCTGGCAGTACTCAGCCCACAAGCCAATCATGGAACATTTTCTTTTTTATAAAGATTATTGTATCATGATTTGTTTGGCACAGTCTGTCCTCAGACAAGTGTGAAATAAACATATATATATATATATATATATATATTCAGGTGGGTATGTGTTTGACTGTATCACGCATGCTGAACGTAGCCCACAGTATTGGAATAAACAATTGTGAAAGAAATTGGATCCTCTCATTTTTCGAATCTGTTTCATGTAATGTGACGTTGGACAGGTTTTAAACCACTGAATAAAGACAAGGTCAAGGAGGCCTCAAAATACATGCTTCACAGGCAACACTAGATCTACCTGGTGGGACAATAAACGATATGTTTAAGTGTCACATATAAGGTTATTCATTACATTAATCAATTCTTGTATTCCATTCCGAAATCTGACATTCAGATTTCACCCAGCGGAAAACGTGGCCTTCCTTCTAGAGGGTAGTAAAATGGACAGAAGCTAGTGCATCATTGAACAAGGAAACGCCACCAGACCCATTGAAAAGCACGTGTCGTCGCGTTAGCAAAACGTCAGACAACTGAGTTCTATGGTAATCTGTTGTGTGAACGTACCGCCTGAAAGGAGAAAATTGTTTTTTACCCACTAACTTCATTGTGGAACTAAATCGCACACCGTCTCATTTGTGTCTTCAAAAAGGCAGTATGGGTTTCTGAACTTCTCGCGTTGAATGTGTGCGAATCGGAATCACACTGTGAACTGACCGACCGTGCACACTATCGGATCAGTCAGCAGTCGATCATACGTCCGGTTATGATGCACAATAACTAGTGACTGGGTGTGTCATCGACTCCACGTTTTCCTTCCATTTTTGTGAAGGCTTTATTGTCAGGATATCAATGGGCTCCTAATAAATCGGTCCATCGGGGTGATCAGATAGATGTAGGTATTCTATCGACCTGGTCCGAGACCAATAATGACCGCAGAGGCAGAGTTAGCCTAGCCAAATGTGTGATTCTGTGAGAGTAACAGCATCGTCAATCTCTAACTGGGTACGGAATAATTTGCGCCGATTGGGCCAGACTTTGAACCTCATGTTCAAACATGAATACGAAGAGTAAGGCGNGGTGGACCTTTGGCTACGCAACTGCAGGTCACATACCATGGAAACACACAAGCACCTGTAGATTTTTTTTAGTTCACCTTCATTATCATTCAGTCAGATCGGATAACTCAATATGTAGAATAGCAGTTACGTGATATGGTACCAGGCACAATGTGACATTCTACAAATCGTTTTCTTTACGACCACACCGCTCTCAGTTCATTCGGTAGTGGTCATGGTCATGTTGGAAGTGTAGACATACATGACACCATATTTGTGGGTTTCATACACACACACACACACACAGAGAGAGAGAGAGAGCGAACACGCTAGGCATGAGATCGACATGCGTACAATCAATCGAAACCGCAGGGCAAAAGACAAGTTATCGAGGGGCAGGTTTCAGTAGTGCTTTGTTCAGACGAAGTGCTTAGCACAGAACTGTGAACCATTGGGAAATATCGAGCTCCAAGCTCCGTATTTTCATATCAGTGCTGCAATCGAATGAGGCGAGAGTGAAAGCGAAACGGTGCGTTGAGCGCTATCTTGTTTTCGTTTATTGTGCATCCCAAGGCATTTATAGTCATGAAATTAATATATTACGTTAGCGTATTTAACAGACTTTTAATGCTGTGATTATGATATATGTATTCGTAGAAGTGCGTTTTCCCATGGACATAAAATCTTCTGAACGCTTATTCTGCGAGTAAAAACTTCCGTCACTGGGACTCGAACTGCAGACCACCGGATTATAGCACACACAATACTTCTACATCATTTGGTATTTGGACAGCTATATCTCATCAGGCGGACGCATCACGGATGAAGTGTCAGCATCCTTACAGAAGGCTCGATTGGCATTTGCCAACTTGAGATATTTGCAGCGCCGTCGCTACATCCGATTGTCTCTGACGAGTTGAATGTACATTGTAGCACTTTGGTCGGTACGGCTATACGACTCAAAACAACAGGATAAAGACAGACTGTCGGTATTCGAACACCGCTGTCTTCGTAGCATTGCACGAGTCTGGTGAAAAAACCGGACATGCAATGATGAGGTTAGGTGCAGAGATTTAGGTAACCGCAGTCGTTCACCGGAGCAAGCGGATAGAGTTGACTGGGATGAGTTACGCATGTCACCAAACAGTGTGCAACGGCGCGCTGTTTGTCGAGGCAGGCAGCGGACGGAAAGAGGACAACGGCGGTCAAACTAAGGTGTGGAATGCGGGTACAAAAACCCTAACCAAGAAACCATTAATTGGAGACAATGAGTGACACGGATGAGTGTTGCAAACAGTGGCGCTTGTGCACCTACTCGTTATTCGTACAACTGTTGTATAGTCTTATTAAACTATTTTCTCCTTGACTGTGCTCTCAACATTCCGATCTTCACTCTGTTTTTTTTTCGTCCAAAGGACAGCCAAAAGACAGCAACAAAACTGGGACACGAGAGTGCATGGTTCATGGGTGTAAATATTGAGCATTTGAAGGGCTGAGAAAGGATACAAAGAATCAGCTGGAATTTAGTCTTTTGGATGTGATGGCAATTCATGTCGTCCGCACTTTCTTTCGAAATTATTGTCGGCACAGAGCAATACAATGTGTGCACCTTACTAAGATTGCCCAAGCCAACGGTCAAGCACTGATTGTCTTCCGCATCCAACCAATCGAGTAGGGTATCACATTTACCACAACAGTTAGAATTATAACTCACAGGCAAGTACGGCATGAGTTTGTTAGCAAAAAAAACGAAAACGAAAACAGAACGGAAACATCAAATGTTCGCGGTTATTTGTGAACACTCACCATTACGTGCTTCGAATTCAGTCGGAAATTGGGCACTTTCAGCTCCGGACTATGCAAGAATTCCATCGCTTTGGCAATGTCGACGGCGAATCGCATTGCCTGACGTTGACTGACCTCCACCGCGCCGACATTTCCATCGGTCACGGTATCCACGCGTTGGTGGAGCACATCAAACAAACTGCCATATTGCATATAATCACTGACCAAACAGAGTCTAGGTGTGGCCGTGAAAATGGCCAGCACAGGCAGAATGTTCGGGTGATTGAAAATACGCAGACGCGGGAACTCTTCTTTGAAATCTCGGGCCTGAGGTACCCCAAAGGGAACAAGGGAGCGGCGGCGGTGGGGGAGAGGAGGGAAGTAACTGTGAACTTGTTTGTATATTTAACATAGACACACTACATCAGAAACTCGTGACCAATTAAGCACCACCAATTGTATTACGGGACCATTATACTCTCGTCTCAATTGACGGGGTCTTCTCTTAAAGAGACAAATAAACCAATGAGGTGAAGACATCCAACCGTCAGCTTCAGAATGTGAAAATCGACAAGACAGTCGTATTATTATGGGGAGCAATACTTCCTGAGGATAAGAATCTTCAAAAAGAGATGATGCTAACTCGTCATAAGGCAGGATTTCAAGTGGTGGTGGTAGTGGTCAAGCGATTTAAGTCACTGATACCGATATGCTTTGATCCCAAGGGACCGAGGTTCGAACCCTGCCACCGCCACTCAATTTTGGTGATAAGAAGCGTCACTGTCGGCCAGATCAATACCACGACTGCCCCGGTGAAGCCTTATGCGGTTTGTCAATCCAAGTTCCAGGGTTCAAGTTGCCGACTTCCATAAATGAGCCGCAGGTCCCCGGGACCATGAAGTTTATCTACTATGATGTTCATCACACAACAGTGTGTGTGTAATTAAAAAATGCCGCGAACGAAAAAGGCTTCGATAAATAGCACTGACGCTCAAAAAGATCAGCATCAAACTGAATGAGTAGTACACACTCAAACACGCAACATGTGAGAAACACTTAAACGGTCACAATTGTAAACATATCCAGGGCAAGCAACCACGCACTGATTCTTCCATGACGGATTGCCTTTCGACGCACAACATTCACGTCACGCGCGACCAGAAGAGCAATCATTGCGAACGGTGTGAAGGACCGGTCAGTCATGACAGTCATGCCAGTCATGACAATAATGGAATGAATACAGATAGTAGTAAAATAATATCTGCTATCTACCGGTAGTCTCAAAAACAAGCTCAGGGTGTTTGCCACAGCAGTTCGACCAGTCCTACAATACGGCCGCTGAGAGCTGACGACGTCGAACGATCGGAGTTCCTCGATCACTGATGCCTTAGATTCATCCTGAAAGTAAACTGGCGAGACAGGGTTGAAGACTTCGACCAACTTGGCCTTCCGACGGTGTACGGCACTCGCCGATGGAAAACCAACTGGAATAACATTTGCAAGGATGTTGCAGCCAACCGCCAAGCACGGGCGGCCGCCATCAGAGATATTCATGGAGCCGGCTTATTCTTTCCAAGGAGCCAGCTGTACCTAAGCAAGTAAGTGCTTATTTACGGTGAACTGAAGGCGCCGTTTTATCACAACGAAAACTGCCTCATATGCTTGGAACAAGACAGTGATCGAATGGAGAGGTGATCAAAATTGAAGTTCACTTGGGTCCGGAATCATCGATAAAACAAAAAAGAAATGCTCCAAACCGCTTATAAAGCGTGCAGTTAGGGAATCGACTGTTTCAATAAAATATATCGGCATGACGGTCATCCACTACCCGATCAACGAACCAGTGTTGGCGAGTGAGAATTCGTTAGCGGAAGCCGGATTCAATCTACAAAATCGGTAAAAATAATTTTAGGGGGCAAGGGTTTGTTTAATCAAAGAAAAATTTCTTTACTTAATCGCTAAATATAAACAGCTTTTACGTCGTGAACCGGGAATTTGCTAGAATACAGACACACGAAATCCTGACTATCTCGAGGGTGTCTTGTTTACGTCTGGAGAAATGTTTTCAGGCAGTGCGTCTCTATTGTTTTGCTCAGCAAAACAATATGAACTGATTTATTTATCATACAATTAGCAATTATGACTTGTTAGATATGATCGGGACTCAGGAAGAAATGTGAATTATAATACTATCTCCCTACGTCGTTCCCATTCGTTCACGCGTCCCGAGTTTCCACATATGCTACAACATGAAAACTTCTATAAGCGGAAATCTTTGTGTCCCAACTAACCGAGAGAGAGAGAGAGAGAAAGGGAGGGGAAAAATAATCAATGTGTAATTGCGTGCGCTTTGTCTGTTCGTAAATGCATGCCAGGTCTCTCAGCAACCTGTCCCGATAGATTTGGTCTGGAAATTTAGTGAGCCAAGTTTGTCTGAAGTTTTATTTATATTCATATTTAATGTTGTCCGCCTTTGTCATATATCTCCCACTGGGGTTTTCGGTGGTTCTCCATTCCCATTACCAGGGATTAGGTGGTCGGTTACCACTGCTAAATGGTAATTCATTGTGATTAACATAGTTTATCAGCTCTGTTGTTTATTACACACGGTTGTACTAAAAGTGGAACTTTCACATGTTACGCCTCTCAATTCACATTGTCTTATTATCAGTCCTTTTGCAAGGAAAAACCCCGAGAAAAAATCTCGCCCCACCAATTAGAATTCCAACACAATGTGACAAACAGCATGTTAAAAACAATGGAAAATATCACCATTTCTGATCTACAAAAATCATCATTATTTGGAGGCACACACGAACACGCAGAATTCTACATACTGATATAAGAAGGCCTCACTCTTCTGTATCATTTTTCAGCTACCTGAGGATACCCTGAACGTTAAAATCAGAAAGTCTGATTCGCTGAAGAATTCACCAAAACCCCAACGCATTCCGTCGCATAACGTTATGAGTGACCAAAGAATGTAACCCATCTCAAGATTGAGGTGAGTGGTGTTCACAAGTAGCGTTGCACAAACACATTCTCAGGGAACAGGAAAGCGAAATTCATCTCCACACAACGACTTTACCTGACGAACTGTACAGTTGCGTAGCTTCAGCATTTTCACCACAACCGGACAACGTCGAAACGAGCCTTTCAATACTTCAGCTCCGTGACCATCGGCAAGAGCGCCGGTCAGTTCCACATCTCGCGGATCCCACGATTCGCCGTCTAGCTTGTACAAAGTTGCATCCCGAGCCCTGGTTTTGGTCCCGATCCAACTGGTATCACGGAACGGACGACGATGGGACAGATCGTGACCGAGAGCCTCGGCCAGTGGAGCCAACAGGGTGGCAGCACGTGGACGAGCTATTTCCAATGGGGTTTCACCGTATTTGTTCTCTTGCATCAGACAGGCTCCATTTTTTATCAAATACTGTGCACATCAAGGAAAAATAAAATGAACAACGCCATATTGCCGTATAATAAGTGAACTAGACGAAAATAAAATTTCAATGCACTAGGATGCAACAGGTATCTAAACAATGACAGTGTACATATACATAACGTCCTTTGAAAATAATACGTTGAGGTTGATTACACAGATTTGCTATATATATGTACATATATAGTGCACAGCCTTAATACCATACTCATATTATTGGAAACCTTCTGTGGTTCGTCAATGGTTAAAGACTTTCATTATCGTGATCACGGGGATTGGGCGTTCCACTGCGAATGGAACAAAAAACGAAATCAAAAACTAGAGTTCAAGGTACATTTTTAATTGAATATAGATTCAAAACCCCAAACAAACACAGCACACTTCAGAAGCCTGAGACTCCAACAACAAACAATCAATCGAACGAAAGACGGGTTCACGGATACTGAAGATTTCCATTTCAAAATATAATAAGCATAATCTTACAGCGGAATGCTGTGAAACAAACTTCAATGACTGTAGCCAAACTCATAAAAAGGTAAACGAGTACGCCTAAGGAGGATAGGGATTGGGCCTATTATGGGAGATAGAGAAAGAAAGTGAACATCTATGGGCAATACATAGAGAACACAGTCCAACTGTACATAAACACGTTTTTAATCATTCTGGTCTGACAAAAAGATCGCCACTGCTATCGGTTTACTGTCATGGCCTTCAATGTCTCCAACCATCCAGTTACAGATTCTTTTGGACCCCAACGCGGAAGATGAGGGACAACTACGCTACCCAATCGCGCTGTGCATTTCACGCCCCATTTTCACATCACCTGTTGACCTACACGTGGCCTTCTCCAGTCTGAAGCGAACACAGAAAATAAGACACGGTGTACTAAGCAGCTGTCTACGTACATTTATCACACGACTAAGTTCAGAATTAGCTGAACAAATCACGGTAAAATAATCTGTATAGTAAAGTAAAAGTTCCCTGATTTGCCACTGACAGCCTGCAAAGGTTGAGGCATGTAAATTCTCCTGGGGGATTCAAAACCGGAGCTTTTGATTAGCATTCCATTGAGGGTGGGGGGATGGAGTATAGTTCAACCGATCTCATGCCTCCCCCGGAACGGAGTCAAACGTCGAAGGTGCCCAATAGAACCAGTGGCCACTGTCAAACAAATATGTGTGTGGTTTGTACGCCTCTTCTTAGTTGGTTTAGAATCAAGGCTTTAGCCAACTCTCCTAGATGAGGTGCTAGTGATTCACCGACCCGGTTATATCTCCGGATGTTAGCTTTTCGTTCCCTCATCGTGGTGGGAAAACATCTACGCCACGGGAAGGCAGTGAGTAAGTGGAAAAGAAACTACAAGAACCCATAATATGAGTGGAGCGCGTCGATCATCCCCAATCCAATTTCGGTGTCATCTCAGCATGCTGTACTCACCGATCGGGGATTGTAAAATAAACTGTACTATCTCTACTGTATGGGCTCTCACATGGGGCAAAACTCATCACTGCTGGGCGAATCTTAAGAGCGGTCAGACTATGACAGAGAGAAAAGTTCGGGAAGAAGTCGATCAGTAGGATTAGTCTCTCTGGTTAGGCGGAATTTTTCGGATTGATCTAATTGATAGCTAAATATGACTGAGTATCATACATAATGACAATCGTGCATCTCACTTTCCGTTCACATTCAAATTTTTTTCATATTCCAGTTCACTCTCATACTTCGATTGATTTGGGAACAAGGTGCATAGACAATGGATTATAACCAAAAAATCCAATGCACGAAACTGAGGAGTTGACAACAGTTTGAAATGAAACTCACTTCGGAAATTTCCAAATGATTCCAGAAGCAAGCATAGTGCAACGGTGTGTTCCCGTGCTCGTTTGGCATGTCCACATTGAAACGATGACAGTTCAGCAAAAAGTGAACTACATCAATGTGACCGTGTGAGGCGGCCAGATGCAGTGCCGTATCGTCACCCATATTGGTGGCATTCAGCCGCGCTCCACGCATGACCAACAAATCAACCACGGGCAGTTTGCCCTCACGCGCAGCCCAATGTAGCAGGCTGAACCGATGCTCATCTCCCTGGTTCACATCGTTCCCGATATCATCCAACCACAGGCGGACCTCTTGTAAATTGCCCTCGCGCACATGTGCAATTATGGTCTCCATTGTGCAAACGAAATTTGGATGAGTCGCAAATGTGTGACTCAGATTAGTGGCTGAATAATGAACGAGAGAGGAATGACTGGATAAGTGTGGTCAAGTACATAGCCAACGGAGTGGGTCAGCATGCTAGAATTAGGGTGATTTATGTGCCTAACTTGAACCCTGATAATATTAAACCAGCGGATGAAACAGCGGCTTTACATAGCTTATCAGTTTACGGCTCAAGTCTTAAGTTGCTAGTTGTTATGAGGAGATAGTAGATCTTCAGGACTATCTGATTCACCGCTCCTATGCATTGTGCTAATGCTCAAGTAGACTAAGTTAGTGTCATCAGGGTGTGTCAGCATCTAAGAGTTGCGGTTCGAATCCAAATACCAGCCAACTCTAGCATTAGACACTTTACCCGAAGTTCGGTGGAATAGTACGCTTAACATACCTAACCTTATGTCATTCTCTACTCGAAGTCTCATGGTCGAAGCCGCCGACTCTCATAGCCTAAGATATGGGTCCAAGTGTAGAGTAAAAAATATCTTCGGGTTCGAGGATAATGGTTCATAAATTTATTTATTTATTTTATTCACCGTCAACTGTAGTTAGTCTTATTCAATCCCTACATTATGCTGTGCAAGAACCGCCAGGATCTGAGTGCTTGGGGTATCAATAGCAAGCCATGGTCAGTGTTTCCCAGTATCTTTTCCCAAAAAGGCAGAAAATAACGGACTTATTTCGGTCATTCAAGTGTGCTACCACATTCTCATTGATAGCAAAATTTTGCTGAATCTTCAGATTATGCGGGAGTACAACAAGACGATAGCTCATGCAGCCACAAATTAAAAAACACAACACACAGAACAGACTGAAAAAAGGATAGGGATTAAAAGGAACACACAACTATAGGACACGGGATTTATATTTACACAGAACCGGGTTTACATAAACTCAATTTCATCAGGAAACCCAATTCCTCGCGTCTCATTATCGTTTCTTAAAAACACACGGGTTCAACTTGAGCGGGGGCAACTGGATCACAGATTTATCCGTCAGGTCGGCAATCTTTTTCAACCGCGCCCGTACGAAATACGTGTCCTTGGTGGTTTCGGACATCTCCACAGCGAAACCGTAGAATTTCAATTTCTTCAGGAAATCACCAAACTTGTCGGTGAAACGACTAGCCACATCCACAATTAACAATTCGCCACTGAAACGAAAAAAGAACAAGGCGGTAATGAGACTAAGTTGTGTGGTACGTTTGGTTACTTCATGGAGATAATGAGTAAAACCGTACTATAGGAAACGGATAACTATCC